CATGTGGTTTTATAAACAATTATAGATTCACGTTGGGCATAGCGGTATATTTCTATCCCCTATCGGACCCTACGATGATTTATGTATTGTCGAACCAATTCTACTTCTCTCGAATGCAAGAACAAGTCACCCAAACTCACACAATTACGGGCCTTTATTGCGGAAAACAAATATTGCATATAAATCATTCAATCAATCAATCAATCAAAATGTGTTTTAATGTCGAATTGTAAAACTAGAAATTTAAAGATCTCATCACATGGTACATCAACCTACTAGTACATGTAAATCTAGCCTAACATGGAAAGAATATCGAAGTACATCATAAATTAAAGAAAAAGCATCACCGAGTCATGAATTCTTGATAAATCTTCTTGATCTTCGTGTAATCCTTCGTTAATTCCGCTTAAAATCCTCTCTAAGATGTAGTTTCTTGCCTCCCAACGCGTTTTGCCCCGAAATATGACGGCTCTAGATTTTTATATCGCATCTCAATCGAGTTCCAAAAGAATTATAACGCAAAATGGAAACGGCAGAATTGCGTCAGAAATTTACACCATGCGGTCGCATGGTTGCATCTATTTCTTGGCTTTAAGTCTCGGATGGGGCTTGTGCGGCCACATGGTTATAACACCACGCGGTCACATGGCATTGAAACCTTCGTTTTGTGTCGTTTTAGTCCTCAAACTCAATCTTCTTGTTTTTTGACTTCTTTTCCTCGACTCTTTTGTTCCCTCATCTCATATTGACCTCCAATTGGTACTTAGCACAATCAATTTTTCAATTGCTCCTTTGGCTCATCTTTTTGATATTTGCACTTTGGTCCCTGAACTATCATTTTGATTCGTTTTGGTCATTTTTGCTTCTTTTTCTTGTGAATTCCATCAAGTCCATAAAAAAACCCTACAATCCATGAATTAAGCGAATTTAGGTTACATTTCATACACTTTGCACGTATTTTGGTCATGTTTATAAGTGCATAAAAACGCACTCATCAAATCCCCCAAACTTTAGCTGTTGTTTGTCCTCAAACAAGATAGTGACTTAAATCTCAACAAACATGGTCAGTAACCTGCCGTATCTCAGGATTGGAATTCAGTAATTAACACAAGAAATAGTTTCAATAGTGCGAGAATAGAATTTACCTTTACTTGTCGGATGCAAGACTCATCGTGTGTGTGATCTCATACCAACATAGTGAGCTCATGATTGGTTCAATCCCGACCCCAAAATGGTCAAATATCTCCTTACCTCGCTCGAGAGATACACAACCCCCCCTCCAAACTTATTCTTTTCACTCAATCATTCCGGGGTTGTGTTTTAAAGTTAAGGGTTAAGGTAACTCTAGTCCTTACCCTCTCTTTGTTTGGATAGATCTCACCACCACAAGTGCGCATGTCAACAAATGAATACTTTCATGATTTGATTGCTTTAACACTCAAGATTAAACTAAATTACTTGCCTCGTCTTGAAGGTGTGATTATTATCAACCAAATGTCCAAGGGCTTTTTCTATACTATCTTACTTTGTATTTTTCATTATTATTATTATTATTATTATTATTATTATTATTATGTCATCTTCTCATTTGCTTTCAATACAATCCTCGTAGCGAGTTTTAGACCGGTGACTCTCGAACCAGTTGACTTTAGGGAACCAGGTTTTTAAACCCTTGCAGGCTTATTCACTTGAGTTATAAAGGCTCGATCAGATGATTTTTTATTAACTTCTTTCCCTCTTACTTTCTATATGACCCCTATAACGAGCTTTGGGCCGATATCTCCCAAACCAGTTGGCTTTAGGGCACAAGATTTCGGGATA